TATAGTAGAAACCACGAGAGCTGGCAGTGACAGATCGCTTAAAAATGGTATGAATCAAGATATGGACGTACGACTTAGATTATTTCACCACATACATTTAAATGTAGGTTATGTTAGTAATGGAGGTTATATGTCAAACATTGTCAAAGATATTATTTAATGATTTTCCTTTCAAAGAAAACATTTTCGGCTTGTGAAAACACTAACAGATTCATGACAACGCTCACAAGACGTTTCGATTTGAGGTTATAATTATAGAGTGACATCCCTTAGAAGAACAGACGTACTTTTTCGACGTGGCCATTTGAATTGTACAGCAGACATATTAAACTAATACTATCTCTTTCCAACACACATTACTCTCTAGCGGTTTGTGAACTACGTATGGCATTTGTAAGAGCGGAAAACGATGATTTACTGAGAGCTCTCGTGGCGTCTACTATATCTCTCAAACTATAAATGTTAGGTATAGGACACATCGGATATAAAAGATGTAAAATGAGACACCGAAGACGACTATGTAATAAAATATGGGGGGTGCGATTTAAAAAAATTAAGTTATGGTACTTCCAAGTTTCGGAAAGTTAATGTGCCATAGTAAAGTTATTAAAATTATGCGTGATATGTTTTAACAGTTTAACAAACCTTTTTATTATCTTTTTATATTGACAACTAATAAATGATAACATTCACTTGTTTTATATGTAACTACTCGTAAAACCTTAACGCACTCTTGATTGCTTTAATTGCTTGATTGGGATTGCTTTATGATATAACATTTCAACAAAAGTGACCAAATGTTCTAGACAGCCGTACTCGGCACCAAAACAAACTCCATCATGTTGCTTAAGCATGTTCTGAATTCTAAATTGATATCCCAAAAATCAGCAGATTTTTCTAGAAAAATTCGAATAACTCGAGAACGACCGAATCAAATTGCAAAAAGTAAAGTCATTCATAAACCTTGAAAACAGAAAAATCCAAATATGTAAAAATATACAGGCTGTTCCATTTAAAAAAATAAAGTAGGTGGCGACTTCCGGTATAACCGGAAGTGTTAGATAGCTGAAAATATTTTAGTGGAAGAGAACGCAATTGATAATACTTAAATCTGAATTTTCAAATTTTTATTTTGGTCAGAACCCTAAAAAGTTCTACTGGACGGTCGTCGTGGATGACCCTGTATAATGCGCATGTACAAAAATATTTGGTGACGCATTTTAAATTTAAATTCAAACTGGAAAATATTTTGAAAACTCATTTAAATCAAACTATCAAGGACTAACATGAAAATAAATTTTCTGTAGTTAAATGCAATTAAAAATTTATGATTTTTATATAATATTTCATAGTTATGAACTATTATAGTGGGGTTAATAGGGATGTTGGATCTTGAAATGGGAACTTTAAAATATAAAAAATAGGAAGAGGTGTATAAGGATTGGGGTTCGCAGGGGAAAGGGGAAAAAGGGGGGAGGGGGAATGATCTCATCGAACTACTGAAAAGGAAAGAAAAGAACACCAAAAGTGAAGAGATTTCTAATTGGGAAGAAATTCAAACATTACGTAAGATTCAACATAAAATTAAAGTCAATTCATTGATTGTTACAAATGCTGACCAAAAACGCCGGTTTAGTCATTTTAGATCAGTGTTTTTCAACCTTTTTCATGACACGACCCCCTAGTAACAAAAAATATTTCGCGCCCCCTGACCCTTTTTTTCATGTATGTTAAAAATATTTAATCCATACAAAAATTTACGACAATTAAATTTAATAATTATCGTTATTTATGACGACAATTATTTGAAATTTGGGTTTACTGTGATTAAGAATAAACCGCAGTGCGTAATTTGCTTTGAAATTTTGTCAACAGAAAGCATGAAACCATCGAAGTTGGAACGCCACCTAAACATAAAACATCCTAATGAAAAAAATAAACCCGTGGAATTTTTTGAGCGAAAACTAAAAGCTCTTGAACATCAAAAAACTGCTATAGGACAAATATCCAACCTAAATGAGAAAGCGTTGCTCGCTAGTTATCGAGTAGCTTTTCGTGTGGCTAAAGCAGGAAAACCTCACAGTATTGTCGAAAATTTGATTTTACCAGCGGCTTTAGATATAGCAGAGATTATGTTTGGCAAACAAGAGGTCAAAAAGCTCAAAAGTATACTTATATATATATATATAAGCAATATGGCGACTGACGTTCGTGATCAAGTCATAGAAAAAATAAAGAAAAGTTCTTTTGTGTCCTTACAATTTGATGAATCAACGGATATTGCGGGTTGTGCGCAGTTTGTAGCTTTTGTGCGTTTTGAATCCAATGAAATATTGATGGAAGAAATACTATTTTGCAAGGCACTTCCCAAAAATGCTACAGGTCAGTTCTTGCATGACATGTTCGTTGAAGCTACGCAAGATATGAATATCGATTGGGCACAAAAATGCATTGCTATTTGTAGTGACGGAGCAAAAGCCATGACTGGTGCGAAGAGTGGATTTATTGCTAGACTGAAAGAACAAATGCCAAACGCTTGTTGGATGCACTGCTTTCTCCATCGCCAAGCTCTTGCAGCCAAAACCTTGCCACAAGAATACAGTCAAGTTCTAAATATTATTATTAACATTGTAAATTCTATCAAAGGAAAAGCGTTGCAGACTCGATTGTTTCGAATCATTTGTGAAGATATGGGGGCACTACACCGCAATTTGCTTTACCACACAGAGGTTAGGTGGTTATCAAAAGGCAAAGTACTGACCAGAGTTATGGAACTTCGCGCTGAACTATTAGTATATTTACAACAAGCCAAGTCACATTACTCTGAATTCATTTCTGACCCGGAATTCCTTTTGAAATTGGCTTTTCTTTCCGACTTATTTGAGCATTTAAACAACTTGAATAAAAGTCTTCAAGGGCGGGATGAAAATGTCATTACAGCAAAAGACAAACTCCATGGCTTTATAAAAAAAATTGAATTGTGGTCATCATCTATAAATCAAAACAACTTTGATTCATTTTCGTCGACACAGTCTTTCATTGAAGAAGTCGGAAGCGAGATAAACATTAACTCATATATATCTGGTATGAAAATGGTGTTAGATAATTTGAAGAAAGAGTTGTGTCATTACTTCTCAGTGCAAGAGATATCGATTAACACTGGGCAAAGATGGATCTTAAATCCGTTTTTAAATGCAGCTATAAATGAGGCAAATTTAGCAACTAAGCTCAAAGAGAATCTGCTGGAATTATCTGCCGATGGGATGTTACACTTGAAATTCAAGTCTGAAAATTTGGATACCTTTTGGTTAAAAAGAAAAACAGAATACCCGGAATTAACAACCGAGGCTTTGAAGTGTTTGATTCCATTTTCTACCTCGTACTTGTGCGAGTTGGCATTTTCATCAATGGCCCAAATAAAAAGTAAACTAAGAAATCGCTTAAATTTGGAAAACGATTTAATACTTAAAGTTGCAAAAACGGATTCACGATGGGAGAAATTGATTGAACAAACTCAAGGGCAACCTTCACATTAAAATGAACGAGTACTCGAAGATTTTATTTTTTGTTAATGTGTTTGTATAAACAACATAACAAGTTTCATTTTGTTAACTTTTTTTAATCTACCTCCTTGAAATTTATTGATTTTTTTACTGAGTTCTCGCGATCCCCCTATAGAGGCTTCGCGACCCCCCAGGGGGTCGCGACCCACAGGTTAAAAAACACTGTTTTAGACAAACCTTCATATATTTCAAAACCTTTAAAATTTTTTAATGAAAATAATTTTATTGAAATTAAGANGGATGCATAGAAGAATAAAAAGTTTGTCGTTCGGCGTGCCAATGGTCTGGACGGATCCGATTAATCACGACCCATCTGTTTGTTACGCGTGTGTGAATTCTGGTAGTGGAATGAACAGAAAGAAAATGAGGAGTAAAGTGTATTTGAGTGTCCCAATGCTCAAATACCATTGCCACACACAGAAAACATTCCAGTGCCAAAACCACCGAGCCCGGACGTGTTATCGGGTATTACTTTTTTAACCCACTTGAGTGATACTTTTTCATTGTATGAACCAGTAGCAACTGTATTAACTGGGCCAATTTTGGTTACTCAAAATCAGCTGGACTCCATCGTTACGAAGTTAGGACTATCGCAACGTAAGTCGGAACAGTTAGCTAAATTTCTAAATTCGAACAACCTGTTGGCACCTGAGACAAAAGTCACAGCATATNTAGATCTATAGCAATTAATAGTGGTTTCTCAATACCACAGATAAATTCTTTAATTAAAAAACTTCAGATAAAACATCAACTTAAAAATTCAACCACTTTACAACCACTCACACAAAATAATAATTTAATATATGGATCAACTAATTTCCCTGGTAATGTTGCTTATAATATCCAGAAGATTTTCCGTAAATACTTACGATATTAATATTTTCTATAAAAACGTAAACACTTTACAGAAAAAACTGTTCAACGCCAAAGACAAAATCAATTTATTAGATCACAATGGTGTTTATAAATTAGAATGCAGTACTTGTGGTGCTACTTATATTGCACTGTGCAACAAGAAAAACCATCCCGGTTGGTTCCAATGGTAAATGAAAGTAGACCAACTAACTAACAAAACCCTCGCGGAGTTTTACTATATTAGCTCGGGTTTTTTTTTTATGACCACCTAAAGTTGGCATGTATTTACGGCAGTTTTTGGCCGTATTTCTTTAAAATTAAATAATAATAAATGAAATAATTTAAGTTATTTTTATTATTTTTATATACTCTGTTTATTTCTTTAAAACATTTTATGAAAAATGACTTAAAACGGACAGTAGACTACAGGACGTACAGGTATACGTCCAGGGAGTCCATTCATCACCCTTCGCTACAACAAAGAAGCAAGAAAGTCTTACAGGTAAAAAGACGAACAAGTACACGTACAGGGGGTCCATTCGTCACCCTTTGCTATAAGAATGATACAAGAAAGTCGTGCAGGTAAAAAGATGACTAGGTAAAAGGGTAGAAGTTAGATGTTTAGGCGGGTTAGTACATAAGTCCGTAGCTTTTAGTTCGAGAATATTTCTCAAACAGTGAGCATCTGGCAGAGCATCGTTTATTTGTGACTTAGTGATTTGTTTGGTGTGTGTTTATTTGCGACTTGTGTTTGTTTGGTGAATTGTTTGTTGTGTTTACGGTGGAAAAACCAGTATTTGTGGCGCTAAAATGGTTTGCAATATAAACAATTTCTGTTACGTTTGTGGCCATTTCACCCCACAACAGATAAAGCATGGCTCTTTCAG